ATCTTTGAAAGGACATTTTAAGCAGTCAGGCTTTCCTAATTTGTTTATTGTAGAATAGGATGTCACAGCCTAGCAATATACGCATACAAGGAACACAAAGACTGTTCCACCTTTGTTCTAGAACACAGGTGGGTCTATATAGCTGTAGTAAGTAAAATTATGAGATGACAGCCAAGATTCCCATCTCCTAGTATATATGCCCTGTATAATCCACTTCCCCTGAGTGTGAGGGGGTTTAGGAATATGACGGTATAGTCATTCCCATGACTAAGTTATGTTATATGGCACAGCTGACTTTAAAAAAGGGAGATAATCTTTGGTGGGCCTGACCTAATCAGGTGAGCCCTAAAAAGGACTATGCTCTTCTGAAGTGTGAGAGAGATTTGACACAAGGGAGATTTCTCCATTGATGGATATAAAGATAAAAGGGGCCATGGAAAGTGACTACTAAGAATGGAAAGCCAACAAGAAAAGAAGGGCTTTAGTCTTCTAACTATATGGAATGGGATTCTACCAACAAACTGAATGGTTTTGGAAGTGGATTCTAGAGGCAGAGCCTCTAAATGAGAATTCAGCTTGACTGATATCATGAGTATGAGACTCTGAGCAGAGAACTCGGTTGAGTCATGCCTGGACTTCTGACCTACGGAACTGAGAGCTAATAAATGCGCATTGTGTTAAGCCTCTAAGTTTGTGGCCATTTGTGATGCAACAATAGAAAACTAATGAACTGATACAATGGTATTCTAGTTAAACATGAGTTAGGATATTTTTAAAGAAATATTTTTCTTGTCTCCTCTGTCCCTAGCTTTCTCCAAAGCTTTGATCTATTTCCCCACCATGTAGTTATTTCACTGACTATAACTAGAAAATGCCATATTCTCAGATTAAATCTTCTTTCATATCACATTATCTTTTCTCATATCAGAGTTATCTCTTTTTTTCTCCTTTACAGTTGATTTGAGATGCAGAGACATATGCATTTTGGGTATATTATATACTGGCTTAAGGCAGGAGAATCAAACTCGAAAACACAGATTTCGAGAATTAAAGCAAACAATCTGTGTATTTTGAAGTAGCTCTGATATGTTTTATTTGCTGCATCTAGTTATCTTGATATACAGTAACCCTGACATAACAATTGAAGAAAATGGAGAAGCAACGTAAGCATAAATGGCTGGATATTTTAATACACTGTACCAATAAACATTACTAGAATACCATGCATTTGAATCCATGCTTTTCCCGAGGAAAACCTGCATTCTATCTTCTGTTTCCTGATATTGCAGCTGGATTCTATTACAAGGGTAGGACACATCATGGGAAGCATGCCTAAACTTTTTAAGCTAAAAACGAAAACTGATCTTCATTAATTATATGTCTAGATTATGCAGATTGACCACTATATTACATATAACACAGTGAAAAGCACTATTATTGGGCTTGTTGATAGCTCCACCTAGGTAATTTAGCTCTAAGCCTTATTTAGCACAAAGGCAGGATCTGGTATCAGGTCAAAAAATCAGATCAAACTGTGACTTTGTGGTTGATGGCTGAAAAGTGCTCTACAACAAAGGGAACTGAGAATGCAGTGTCTTTTTAACATTTAATTCAGGAAAAATTTCATCTCCAACACAGCTTAATGTAGTGCTACTACATAATGCAGATAAACAAAAATATAAGAAAGTCAGTGATTCATAACTAAGAATCACCATTTAAAAATCAATTCTCTACCTTTGTGAAAACCATAGAATTGGATTAAGAGACAAACCACCTAATTTTAGATTTAAGCAAATGTCAACAATGGATTCTGGAATGAAGGATAAGTCTAAGGATCCTAAACCCTGACCTGAATAATGGTTAGCTGTTGTAGTAAAAAGAAGAACTCACACACACACACACACACAATACTCAAAAGGCCCTAATCTGCAAAACTTCAAGATCTGGGGGTCCAGGTAAATCATGACTTAGCTTTTACCAACTTTAACCAAAGTCTTCCCAGGTTCTAAAGTCGGCACTAAGAAAAGTTATTATAAAAATATTATATTAAATAATTATAATCTTTGTCTTCTTCAACTTCTTATACCATTTATATAATTATGTTGAGGGAAAACACCCCAAACTCAAATGAAATAAATGACTTCAGTTTATGCCCACACGGACCTTGTCAAGTAGCCAATGACTTGCCCTTTCATTGTGAGTGACTAATATCAATGCTGGCTCTAAAGAAAGACACTTTTCATAATCACCCAACAATCTGCTAAGTGAAAACATGTGGATAGGCTTAGGCAAAACTTGCCGGGGTCTTTGCTGAATGGAAAACAGGTGCTTTCATTCTGTGCCACGTAATACCCCATTTACCCCCAAGTCCAAAGGTTATAGGACTAATAGCTGCCTTGTGGTAATCAGGGAAAGCCAAGACACTAGCTCTGGTGAAACATCTGGGACATATTTTACATACTTGCAACATATGCTTCAGGTTCAATTAAAGTGAGGCTTTGGCACATTTATTAATCTTTTTTACTTTTATCCTATAAGAAGACCTACTGACCTGACCCCACTATTATACCATATGAGAAAACAGAGAAATAATGAGAGCTAGAGGGTCAGTACCTGCTAGTATGGCAAAAAAACACATTTGTTTTCTCATGAAATTCCATTACGCATGACTCTATACACAAACTTTAAATAGAGAAACCAGTGAATTTTTTAAAGTAGGAAATTACCCTTCTGCTATTCAGACACACTGATAGCCAAGGCTTACAACATTTACCACTGTGAGAGTCAGTCAGAGATGGAAGCTGGTAAACAGAAACTTGAAGGATCCTTTCATAGTTCCATTTCTCATAGTAAAAACTTCATTTTTCAAAACGTCTACTCTAAGATTCTTCCCTCTATTATGCAAACCTGTAAAGTCTATTTTAAATTATTAAATTTGAGATTTTCTTTTGTTCAGATACAATTTTCATGTTATCAATTGCATTATGAGTAAAGAAGAAAAACATATATCACTCAAATAAAGGCTGGATTTATGAAAATCTGCTCACAATCTTTTCATGTGGAAAACACAGTTTGTTGGTATCCTATGCAGAAGAACACAGTTGAATTCACACAGTAATTCAAGCACTCCCTTTCAATTAACTTTGGTAACTAGATCTGAAAATGTGTTAGAAAGGGGTGTCAATTTTGGATAACCAAATGCTAGATTACAAAGATTCCACTCCAGAGATTTGGTGTTGTTTCCACCATGGCATGTGCTACTTGTCATTTATGTTTTGGTGAGCTGGTTAAACAGGTGTGCTGTTGGTTTCCCACTTCTAACATTCTATTAAAAAATGACCATAAATTGGAGATTACTGGTATATAATATCAACAAGCTGGCTAAAAAAATACAGGATGATTTCAAGTAGGGACACTGAAGTCATAGAAGTACTAGACTTCACCAAGGGTTTCCATTTATTAACATTTCTGGGGAAACGCCTGCTGCCGGAATGGATCTTTATGGTGACTTTAATAATAAAGCAGCAACAAGAAAGGGAAAATGGCCATAAATGGATGGCAGTTCAGTGTTTATCAGCAGAGAAATGATGATTCAGAGCTGGCATGTTGAGTTAAAGAACAAGCTCTCTACAGCTCTACAACTGACCTTAACAATAAATCATATCATTTATTGCCAGAAGTGTATGCTCATGTTATTTAACATTAAAAACAAACACATATGTGTTTCTGCAGGAAGGAGATTTTGTTAGTTTATGTTTGATCATGTCGCTAATGACTAAATGATGTACAGAAGAAAAAATTCACATAAAAGCTCTATCAATTCAAAGTGTGTGAAATACCATTAGAAGGAAGAAAGTGCGCCTCTGTGTGTGTGTGTGTGTGTGTGTGTGTGTGTGTTTCTGTTTTCCTTGTAGCACTGAATATGAGAAAAAATATCATTTGGGAGGTTAACTAATCACTATGAATTTTTTTTTTCCAATGCTTGCTTTCAGTACACAAATTCTTATACTGGAATATAACTGTACATCTCTATTGGAATCAAAGGTCAAGGGCATAAACTAAGATACACTGTTTTTCTCCTTTCTTCAAAAAATTTCACTGCTTTACTATAACAGAATTCAGATAAATTACGGTGAAGGTCAAAATCTGGTTTCATATGCCAAACGATGTAGAAATAATGAATGACAGTCTCTCTCCCTTCTCCCAATCTCATCCTAGGGCTTAGATTTTAGATCTAGAAATGCCCAAGGATGATGATAAACCAGCGTCACTAGCCTCCTTGCCATAGAAAGCTGTTCTTCCCATCCCAGCAGCTGCTGCAGTAGTGCAAGGTCATTCTAATTCCTCCCTCCAGTTGTCTCCTCTCCCCAGGGGACAACCCGTCTGAGAAACTAGCTGTTATTTACTGTGGTCAACATCCCCAAGCCAACCAGCAATCGAAAATCAAGCCTCCCTGAACAGACTTCTCTGACCTAGGAGCCACAGGGCCATTCCAAGTCAAGTCTAGGCAAAGGGCAGTGAGCATGGGGATTATTTAAATGCCCTCTAGAGCCCTCTGCACACGTGTTATTTTGCTGAGCAAATTGAAAATTACAGATGACAATATCCATGTTCAACTCATGCAGCCTGCTATTTTTTCTCTTCTCTCTCCCCCCAAAGTATAGCTCGATTTGTAATACTCAAAATAGGACAAATTTTTGCCCTTCAGAAACAGTTGTCACTGCCGTTATCTTCACGAGAGGTATCAAGTTCCAGACAAGCTGAATTATTTTTTTGTTCCTGGCAGAAAAATATTTGACCCAGCTCTGGACAAAAGCGATGAGGATTTATAGCCCTCTCTCCCTCTTTGCAACATGCAGTGGCATTGTTAGGATGATAAACAGCACTGTCCGATTTTCTGGACTCGAACACTTCAACTCCTTTTTTAACTGTCTATGAAAACAGTGTCATGTCTACATTTCCCCATCCCCAGGTACCCAAGTGCTGGGAAAGATAATTACCTTGTCATCTTTGTCATCTTCTTCTTCCTCATCCTCTAGCATGTCCTCCACTACCTGCAGACAGAAACAGAAGTCGTTTTCATGCTCTTAAAGGAGACAATTTTGTTCTGTCATTTTAAACCTTTTGGAAATGAAAACTTTATTAACATTTGAAACAGACGCACTGAGAGAGACTATTTGATCTAGCGATAGCGATAAGGAAAATGCTATGCCTTTAATTGATTAAAACCAGGGAACTGAATCTCCGTCAGGGAAACCCTATTTGTGTGAAATATTCTGTGACAACCTAAAAGAATTTGAAATATGCATAAGGTAAACGAACATTAATTTGAGGGATGCTTTAAATCAGGAAATTTCTTTTTTATCTTCTCTGCTGTCTATATCAAGGCACTTTAAATTTGGAGCTAGATAACTAAGCAGAAAACAGCTCTGTTCTTTCTAATTTACTTATCACCAAACTCTACAGTAAAGAACTCTGTCTGTTCATTGATTCATGCTGGTGGTCTATGGCATCAAACTAACAATATCGTTCATAGCTCCAATTTTAATTCTTACTTACGTCAAGTCTTGACTATCTCTGTATTACTTTTGATTTTGTAGATTACTTGAAGCACTGATTTTAATTCTCTGTGATTTTACACAAAAATTACGTTATGAGAATGGACATTATTGAAAGAAAATTAGAAATGCATTCAATAATCAAACGTGTATAATATATAGGTGTATATGCATGCATGTATTTTTTAATGGCTCCTAGTTTATCTGCTTTAGCAGAATGAAATAGTCGTTTTGGATTTGCCAAATAATTTCCCCTTGCCTCAATCAATATATAACTTCAGCCATTATAAGTAGGACTTCATCCTGTTTCAGGTGTTGTACTATGGTTTTATATACCTATACCTACACCTACACCTACACACACACACACAGAGTAAAAAAATCTTCATGAAAACCAAAATTTTTTTTAAAATTGGGGGGGTTATTATTCAGGTAACTGCCAACTTATAACTATTTATGTCATTTGATATAATGTCTAATTCGTGCGGTGTTTGTACTTTTTTTTTTTTTAATCCAGCCTGTGTCTGTATCTCTGAATAAACTAAAAAGAACCATGGTTATCAAATACTTTTAAAACTTTTTTTAGAGTGCATAACCTTAGAAGACAACTAGCCCTTCTTTCATGTGGCTTTATAATACAGACTAGATTATGCTTAATGAGTGAAAACAATAACTAAGACTGTATTATGCAAAGAGTTACATAAACTGATAGAACATGTCAGGACTCTCAGCTATTCTAACTTTTCTCAAATATTCTAAAAGCATTAGCTGATTTAAAAGAATAGCCCAAACACAAACCCCCAGTTCTCATGAACCGATATATGAACAAAAGCATCTGACAACCTGTAGGATTGTTCCTAATTTAATGTCACACTTGAAATCTTGTATTATATGGTAGAATTTTGTGGTCTTTCATTTGGACATTCAGCATTTCAAAAGAACCACAGTAGCACAGCGTGCTGTTTCCAATATCTGGTGAGAGTTTACACTTATTTTGGGAACACAAAAAGCAATTCAGCTTCAGCTGGAAAGGATTCTTACTTGTCTATAACTATATTCGACCACGTCATAAGCATCTACTATTACCCCCTTGTCTAAGGAACATGGTGCTAAGTACTGCAGGGATACAAAATGAATAACACAGAGATAATTCATCTATACTCGTGTCAGTCCCCAAGAGGCTTATAATCCAGGAGAATTTAAATGAGGACCCTCAGATAATTTTTCATATTGAGTTTTAATTTCCTGAAATGTTGAAGTATTCACATCTTAAGTATAGAGACAACAATAGTAACAATGTATAATTGAGGTGCTATACGCCAGTCTATTCCAAATTGGGCTATTTGTGATAGAAGTTTGAGCAGGAAAAATGACCACAATATTTCAGTATTGTGCTGCATCAAAGGAATTCACCTAACACACCAAGTACTGAACTAGAACTCAAACCCAGACTGTAGGATAAGCAAATAGTGAGTTTTCAACCTCTGCCCATTTAAAAAAAAAAAAAAAGAAAAGATTAAATTCACCTAACCCTCACAAGATTTTTTTTTAAATGGTTATAATTTTGTATCACTAATAAAATGATATTTAAAATTTTAGATTTTGATAAAGGAATTTTAAGGTCGGTCATTATCTATTTTATTTTTTAAATAAAAATTATATATATTTAAGGCAAACAACATGATAATTTGATATACATTAGATTAATTTTTGCTAAAATTACCCATGCAAAGTCATTTATCAAACACAAAGAAAATGAAATGAATACTATACTTTTACTCTAACGATATTTTTGCTAGTTGTTATTAAGAATATATTATATGTCTCCTCTCTTCAGTACTTATTATCATACTGCAGGTGCTAGGAAGGCAGAATGGTGTTGGATTGTGCCTAGCAGATTGCAAGTACATGGTGGGTATTCAAGAAATATTTGTTGATAAAGTGAATAGATGAATGCATCATCTATTCTTCATATCCTTATACACACTTTTTGGTAAAGTGCCTATCATCTATCTCACAGAACTAAACTAGCTCTCCTGTAAAAACTTATACCTGATAAATGATGCAGATTAATAAAAGCAAATATTCAAATATTTGTCAGGAAATAGAAACCATAAATATTTAACCCTTATTTTAAAATTTAGAGATCACCACTATCTTCAAGTTGATTTTCAAAAATTCAAAATAGTATTGAACCACAAAATATATCAATAGCTTAATTTACACATTTTACAAATCAGTTATAGATCTTATGTTCAAGAGTGACTAACAGTGGTCTACAGAATCAGGCTCTTCATTTGTGAAACCCAAACTGTTCTTACCCTCAGCAAGCGGGTAATTGGCTATGCACAATTGCTCCACAAATGTGCGGCCAGACCACCCAATACAACCATTTGCTTTTACATTTGGCAGAAAAGTGTTGTGTTAGTGAGAGGCCTTTGTGTTGTGTTTTAGTACTCTAGTGAGGGCTTTCCCCTCCTCCAGTGCCTTTTTAATGTTACATCATAAACATCTACAAGTGAGGATTTATAATACGGATGGTTTCCTACTGATGCATTTAAGCTGCTATCCCACGATTACATTTTGCTCAGGTGACGCTTAAGGTGGCTTGGAAAATGGAGCTAATAATAGCACCTATCCTATATGTTGATTAAGGATCCAATGAGATAATGTTTTCAAAGTGCTCGGCACAGTTCCTGTATGGAAGTAAGTATTCAAAAGTGTTAGCTGTTAATAAAAATGACATCAATTTAACAATATTTTAAACATTAAATTTTGGAAATTAAACTATATATTTTTTCTGGGCAAAATACTCAGTGTTCTTAATGACAAACAAAATTCCAATTCCCATTTCACAGACATTAAGAAACACATAGAGGGGCGCGAGTTGAGGCGTGGATAAAGATTCCCAATTAAAATGATAATGCTTTCACAACTAATTTTCAGGCTTTAACGGTCCAATAAAATAGATGGCTTTGAAGGCAAGTGTCTCAGAAGCTGGGCTGTGCTCTAAGACGTGAGCCCTGGCCAAATGCAGTGAATGTAGAAACTGCACACTGAGCTTTTTAAAACAAACGGTATATATCACTGAAGTGCATTTAGTGACTGCACAAAATCACAGCCTTTCCCGGAGAACTCAAATAACACCTACTATTTAGAAAGAGAGCGCTGGAATTTAACACTTAACTAAGGAAAAAAAATAAAGGAGTCCGAATGTCAAATTCCAGTTCTTTCCTCTTCAAATAAAACCAAAGAAGGACTACTTAGTTTTGTTTTCAAATATACAAAGTCCAGTAGCCCAAACATTTGTCACCAATAATTTAATGACAATACAAATACATAGCATCTTCTTGGGTAAGAAAAAATGCATGTGTTAGAAAACATACAGTTTTACAATTTTTTTTTTCGTGAAGGGGAGTATCTTAGATCAGCTCTAGAATTCTCTTTCCAAATTATGCTTTCTGATACCTTGCTTGAAAGCAAGTAGTATTAATCAAACAAAGGAAGGGCACTAGGGAAATCAGAAAGATGTAATGCAAGCAGTTAAAAGTGACATGACCTTCTGTAATGTCGCTCGTCACAGACTTATATGCCACACACTGGAGGAAGGTCTTGAAAGAAACTGATTCTTGGTACTATTCCTTGAATGTAATACTAATAAAGATGACATTTTAAAAAACACATGTAGACAGCCCAAATGCAGCATGCCAGCTACATTACCACCAAAGCATAAGCGGATAACATTATTTTTAAAAGCATAATATTTCTTCTTTCCTATTCCATATTTGCTGAACATTTGTCATTCACATTTAAAACTCTATTTTCAAAATAGAGCGAAATTGTATCTGTAGAATCTGTATATTTTATATTGTTGTATAGCTTTTGAAATAAGACTTTTAATTAAAATTCAATACAACTAAATGCTTATGATTTGCAAGGAAATAAAATTTTACCTGGCTGAAAATGATAATAATGTTATTGGTAATCTGAATAAAAATATGACAACATGCTTACAATTATTCCACCAGACAAAGATGTTCAAGTTAGAGGACCAGGAGGATGCAGAAAAGGAAGACCAAGAGAGTGAAAGGATGAGAAAAAGTGAATTCAGGTAAACTTCATTATTAAAATTATCATGAGACAGTGGATACTACTTATAGCTTTTTAATGCCATTTCAGAGTGCATGTTTTAAAACTAAAGTGACAAAAGGGGGTTAAAAGTTCCATGAATAATTCTTAAAACACTTCATATTATGATTTTCCCAGGGATAAAGTATTCCATTAATTTGCATCCATTTAAACAAAAAGGAACCATTTATGCTACCCTCGTATGGAGTCCCACAAAGCCAAAACCCCTCCGGAGCCAACGCTGACACAAACCAGCATCTTTCATGTTTACTTTTTTCCTCGGAAATAACCTTTGAATTAAGTGGATGTTTTGCTATATTCAGAATGAATAGTTGCACAATTCAAATTACTTTACTCAAACACAGTTT